AAGACTCCAACCCTAAGGAGATCATATAAATACCCTAAGAGAAGCTCCTTGCGGCTGCTGAAGTTAGAGAGATTTTTAGAGCAATATTTGAGCTTCATATTTTCTGTTCTATTCGGTTGTACACAGTTCAGTACGAGAGTTCTTACACACTCAAGGATTGAAGCTGTTTTTTTGTTTAATTTCTTTGTTTCATCAAACTATCTTTTACCTTCACACTTAGGGAGTAAGTGTAGATTCAAAAAGTCCATGGGACGTGGCCGGAGAATTAGTTGATAGGATCGTGAGTAGTGTTGGATAGACTAGAAGGGAGTTCCAGTCTTGTAAGTCCAAACTATGTCTGTATGCGGTTTATCAATGAAAGAACTCTGAGGGAAAGTGAGACGCTTCCCTGAAGAGTTTTTCAAAATCTTCGTTTTTATTGCTTCCGCATTTTTACAATTCTTGGTTCGGTTTGTAATAATTGGCGCACTCCGTGATAATTACACGTTTCAATTATTATTATTATTATTATTATTATTATTATTATTATTATTATTATTATTATTATTATTATTATTATTTGGTTTCTTTTATTGTCATATAGTAGATGACATCAAATATGAGAATGAACATTGATATGGAAAGTAAAGCTGGGGGAAAAAATGTGACTCTGGCTAGTTGGTCAAAAGAAACTTTGTATTTATTGTGATATGTGCATCGAATATGCGGGAAAAAGTAGAGAAAATTGTAGTGCAACAATCTCACAAAGAATGCCATGGAAGGTGTTAGAGGCTGAGTTTAAAAAAAAAAAAAAACTCATTTAGCATATGACAAGAACAAAACATAAGTAAATGGGATTGCATGAGAAATAGATGGAGTCTCTGGAAAGCACAGAAAGAAAAGAAAATTGGACTAGGATGGGATCATGAAAAAGGAACAATAAGTGCTAGTGACGAGTGGTGAAAAAAAAATTGAGGTCGGTTAATTTAAATATTATTTTTACTTGAAAATATCATTAAAAGGGTCAAAGCTGATATATTTTAATTTTTTTTTGTAGGAAAATGTTAATTTTAAATCTTTTCAAGACGAAGGGATTGAACCTGAACTAGAATACAAGATGGAACAACTATTTGGAGTCTTAGTTGCTCAAGGGGCTCTTAGATTCACTACAGTTCAACGTGAAAATGAATCAATTTATATCCCATCTCTTTCCCCAAGTATGGAAGTTGGTAATACTCCATATGATGGTATTAATGAAATAAGTGAGAATGATGAAGTTTATCTTAGCAGAACTAATAAAGAGTATGAAGAAGTTTGGATCGACGACAACCCAATTCAATCTCCCACTTCACTTTCTCCACATTTTACAGAAAAAATTGTTATGAATAGAGGGAGCAAAAGGGCTTTCGAGAACAATGTGGCAGAAAGTTCAAAGAGTCGGAAGAATGAATCCTCTAGAAGGGGAGGTGCTGCAATGCTGATGGAGAAACTTGATACTGTGGTAAAAGTTATTACTGAGAGAAACGCTAACGGTATGGAGATAATGAATCTTGAAGCAAATACCCGTGTTGATCCTTCCAATGCACTTGCCAACACTCTTGCAAAGTTAGTGTCCATGACTGACTTGATTCCTAGGAGCCCTGAATTTTGTTTTGCTTGCAGCTTGATCGAAGATCCCCAAAAAAATATAATTTTTAATGGCATACCAGATGATTACTCAAGACTCCAATGGATAAAATTTTTGTATGCGAAGATGGAGAAGAATAAGTGAATATTTTTATTATTGTCTTGTCAGTATTTTTGGTGGACACCTATTTAATATCTAGCATATTGAATATTCTTGTCTATTCAACTTTGTTGCTACTTGCGTTTGTTAGACTTTAAAGGCAATGAGAACTATGTTGTTATTTGTATGTTGCACTTTGAATTTTA